GGTCACAACTTTTATGAAACGGATGCCAGAGACTCTGCAGCTTTAAGGAATCAGCTGCATGACGCGCATGATGCAAGGAATCCCAGGGTTGGAAGAGATGTTGGGCTCATTCTACACTCTACACACTCAGAATTTGCGAACCCACAATTTTGCAGAGTCTTCAGACAAGCATGGGATGGATCCCGTTACTCCCCTCTGACCAGATATACAGTTCCGGATTGAGGATTCAAGGTTTAAAGTTGTGGGCTCAGAGTTTATGGGTTCAAGGGTTCAAAGTTTAGGGTTTAAGGTTGAGGTATAATCACACAAAGGAAGTCTGCAGAAGCTCGACTCCACAAGTTTTGACGTAAGACCGAGCATAGACGACTGGTCTACGGAAGTATAATGCAGCATACCGTCTAACATAGGGGCCTTAATACTTAGACTAGGGTTCTGGGGTATATTATACTATAGTTTTATTCAGGAATCCCACAAAATAATTAGTATCGGTAATTATTAAAGCCCCTATATAAAAATAGAAAGTCTTGAACTGCCATGGAGCGGCACGGTGGGAACCGAAGCATCGTCTCTGTCGATGCCTAGACTCTTGTGCGAGCAGCAACGTGAAGGTTACAGCAGCTATGGGGATTATGCGGCAGATAAACGTCCTCATGAACTTTCACGCGAGGTAAAGGAGCTGCTACATGGTCAGGTGCTACGAGCAAGCTACTAGTAGTAGTAGTAGTAGTCGTCGTCGTCGTCGTCGTCGCCGTCTCGTACCAATTTCAACCTGCTCGTTTGCTGGTTCTGCCCGCCCGCAGACCCAGTCGACCAGCTCGGAAGCAACATGATGGGACAACCGCTACTCATCTCCCAAAGCCAAAGCCATCATGTGGGTGGTTGTCAAAATTAGGGCCCCCTTTTGGGCACCCGAAATATCAGGTGCCGTACTATATTAGGGACCCAAAAAGGGATCATAATTTTGACACCCACCCATGTGTAAGAACAGGCAACAATGCGTAAAGAGACAACCGATCAGCCCCGCGACCACACGGAATCAGCGCCTCTCGGGGAAGCCAGAACGCAATCAAAACGATCAATCAAAATCCCGACCCTACGAAAAGTTATCATGGAACTGTTGAGGTTACGGCCGTTGGCGGAAGTACAGAGTATATCTGTATAGCCGGACCCTAGACACTCAAACAACAAAGCCTAAAACATGTATTAGCGACAGTCTCCATTGTAGTTCCTTTTATTTGATTTAACCAATTCTATAATTAGGATCCGAATACGTGACCGCAGAAAGGAAGTGCAAGGGAGACTTCTGGTAAACATCCTGAACTCTGCAGCTGCTCCTCCAATGCCTGACATCTCGAAGCACGCTGAGCTAAGATGCCTTGCTGCGACGGCCGCGACGGCGGCCCCGACAGCGGTGCTGGAGGCCTGGGAAAAATCGTAACAACAACTAATGTAGAAACCTGATTAAGAAACCCTGGCCGCACTCATATAAGGAACCCTAACAAGGACCCTGGTTTCCAAACCAGATTCCTACAGTAGGGCCATGTAGGTCTGCAGGGTTAGGGTAGGTTAGGTTTTGGGTGCAGGGCTTCGGAGCATGTAGGGTTCAAGGTCTAGGGGTTTAAGGGAGTGGGATTTGTCGGTTTAGGGTTTTCGGAGTTTGGTGTTCGGGGTGTTAGGTTTGTTTCTTGTTCTGGCTTGGGCTTACGGACATAATTCCATTTAAAACTCTTGTCATTCCTGCCAGCACCATTACGGATGCAAGTGCGATTGTTGCCAGCAGCATTGCTGCGATCCTGATTGCTACCAGTGCCATGTCTGCAGTTGTGGCTGCTTCTGCTGCTGCAGCAGCAGCAGCACTCCTTATAGTCTGCATTGTGGTTCCTTCTTTGGGGGTTACCTCACAGGATCCTAACTATAAACATGGTTTGACCAAAAACAAGAACCACAAGGGAGACTGCAGGTAAATCCAACGACGCTCAAAGGCTCTGAGGTGGCGACGACAGAGGTCGAAAGTCCGCTTTTTCTGGGTGGGGTAGTACTGGCCTGGGCTGGTGGCTTTGAGGGCAAGTCCTACTGCTGATGGACAAAATCCTGCATGACCCTGAGGACGCGAAGCTATGGGATTTATGGTATATTCCTTATAATGGGTAATGCAGGATTTTGTCCATCAGCAGTATGATCTTCACAAGGGGATCTCTGGACATGATGTAGGGGCCTTCATAAATGGAAGAGGGTCCCTTAAAGGGTTCTTATAAAGGGTCTATAAGGGTTACTAAAAGGGCTACTATAAGGATTTCGCGTAGGGGCCTTCCTGATTATAATAGGTTTTTTGGGGTGGTATTATACTCTCGTAAACATGATCATGAGGAACCCCCAAAACCCTATTCTAATTGCTGAGGCCCCTACATGAGGGTGCACGGCGTGGTTTAGTCTGACAACCTACAGAGGCAACGATCGATGACATGCAGAAGAGAGGCTCTTGACCGCGAACCCAGAGCCCCCGAGCCCTACCACTCTCATCTTATGCTCCCCGAAATACTGACTTTCCTTTCTACTCTAAACCCGAAACGCCTAGAACCCAGAGACTCCAATATCCCTTAATGACGGAAAATACCTTAATAGGTATCCTACTATAGTGTCTCTGAGAACTTGAAGTTCCTAAGTCTTAGGAACTTGGAACTGCCCCACTCTGTGGCCGAACTGCAACGGCCGGGTGGTGCGGCGGGGCCACAGCGCCTGTGTGCCACAGTGCCATGTTTTTTGACGGATCATGGGAGCTGCTCCAAAGGGTGTATACTTGGAGGGTCGGGGGACTTAGTAAGTAAGGTTATAAGTACCTTAATTGGAGTCATAATTAATTATGAGTATAGTTACCTTAAGTATAGCCTTAGTTACTAAGTCCCATGACCCTTGAAGTAGGTTGTAGCGTACACAAAAGGTTCGAGGGAAGCAACCGGCAAGTGGTAGCTGGAGCCTTACTGCCAACCCTGACACCTAATAGATGCTTTTTCGTAACTGCACTGATGCTTTCTTTAGCCAAGTCTCATGAACCCTTACTTCAATGTAACAAAGCGGCCTAACGATTGTTTAGGGGAATGTTCTTACACTACAAGGGGGTCTCAGGCAGTCGTCGGAACCCCGAGCCGGCGAGCACGGGTCGGGGAATCGTTGAAGTGATTATGGGGGAGCTCTGGGTTCAGGGCTCAGAGCCCTCTTAGGGTTTAGGGTTTAGGGGTGTGCTTGCTATTTTTTGTTCTTTTTTAAGGGCGCTTTCCAGCTGCAGAACAGGAAGAATTCCTGGCCAGGGGTTTAGTTTAGAGTTTAGGGTTTCGCTGGTAACTAAGCAGCGCTTTATGGTCATGTGCTTTCAATCGCCTGCGGCGGTCTATGCCCGGCCACAGTTTGTGGGCCTTTCGGGGTAGGGTCGCCGCACCCATCTGCGATTATAGCAAAGGCTTTGACTCTAGAGAGTCTCGACACCGCTAACATCCGGCATATCATGCTTCAGGCGCCAGCAGTTTTGCAGCAAGTCCTGTAAACTCGAACCATCATCAAGAATGAAGGCACTGCTTGAAATGAGTCACCTTGACTCCTGATGACGGATGATACAACGAGGATGTTCTGATGACCCGCGCTGCCATGGCCATGCCGACGACCACGTTAATCATAGTGATGGCGACGGATGATGGCGATGTATGCTGATGTTAGCAGAATGCACCGAATGCAACTATTCGCCGACCCTTCTTCGAGGAGAATCCCTGTTGGAAGTTCCAGACCAGAAGGAGAATTCGATAGGATGACCTACGACCCCAGGCAGTCGGAGCCTCACTACAAGTACACCTAGGGAACGGAATCGTCTGAACCCCCAGACTCTTCTCAAAAATGCAGGCGCCTGCGTGATAACTCGGAGCCACGAAGGCTTCCAACATCGCGACGGGCAGACACGGCCCCGCCCCCGAGCTTGGAGAACAAAACGCTAGAAGTAGAAGGCGGGAGCAGGTGGCGGTTCAAGTTTTTGGATTTGGCATTTAGGGTTAAGGGTTCAGGATTAAGGGTTTAGGGTTTTAGAGGTTTTGGGCTTAGGGTTTAGGGTGTAGGTGCCATGATAATCATGTCTCTCTCTCCCTCTCCCCTCTCTCTCTCTCTCTCTCTCTCTCTCTCTCTCTCTCTCTCTCTCTCTCTCTCTCTCTCTCTCTCTCTCTCTCTCTCACTCACTCACTCTCTCTCTCTCTCTCTCTCTCTCTCTCGCTCTGTTGCTCTCTCGCTGATTCGCCTGACTATGTGTCACTGTCTATCTCTCCCTCTAGCTGCATGCATACATACCTACCCCTGTGCCTGCCTTCTTGCCTACCTCCTACATACACTGACATACACAAAAACATACAGATACACATGCACATACGCATGCACACAAACAGACACTTTAAGCACATGAGTATGCTGGCGCGTAGGTGATCCTTTGCATCAACGAGTCGGTCTGTCAACACACACCTAGGACCGCAAGTATGTGTGCGTATTATATACACATATATATATATATGTACACAGATGTAGATGTGGGTATGTACATCGATGTTGTGTTGACCCAATCTGCAGTCAACAGATTAATTAGCACTTGCACATAAAACATACAGCTTGCGTGCACCAGCGGGAGCTACGGCATTGTTGGAGAGGTAGGAGCTCCAGGGTCCATGATGCCATAAAAATAGGTTTCCAGGTATGACACTTCCGACTGCCGTCTTTGGGATTCACGGCGCTGTAGAGACGAAGGAAAGACTAGCAACCGTGAAGCCCTAAACTCTGACGCCCTCGAAGATCCTCGCCGAGCGACCTCGACAGAGCCCGATCCCCGCTCCTTGCGGACCCTACAGTAGAAGCCAGAAAGTTGGAATATCATTATCGTAACTCCTTTTAAGGTAAATTATAGGGGATCCTACCATTAATCCATATTCCAACTTTCTGGGGTTCCCTTTAAACCCGCCGAAAGAGACAAAGAGGTCCTCGAACCTCCGAGCAGGGGGGACTGCCTCAGCTGCGGCTGACGCTGCGATGATGACGAGCGAGGAGGGGCCCAGAGAGCCCAATACCCCTTAATTAAGGAATATGGCTTAAATCATATTATGCGCCCCCTTACGATTTAAGGTATATTCCTTAATTAAGGGGTATTGGGCTCTCTGGGGGGTTGGATAAAGAGCTTCGGAGCTGTATGGGGCCTGGGGTCGGAAGCCAGTGGAGTGGTGTTGTTCTTGTAATTTCAAGAACCGGCTATCTTCAGCCGAGACCTGGGGCAAACAAAGGGGAAGGTAGAGAATGGAGAAGAGAGTATCATTGAGCTTGACTTGAGGGGTTCAAATCTACAAGCTGGGATAGTCACGCTTACTATCAAGGGATCGGAAGCTTCAGTGCTTCGTGAACATCTGGCTCAATCCAAGTCCGAACCCCTACGCCGAAACTACAGTTCTGAGAATCCGAGACCTGAAACCCGAGTCCGGAGTCCGTGTCCTCCTGGGCCCAAGTCCCGAAACCCCCAAGCTGGACGTCTTGGGCGCTACATACTGTAGGGGCCTTAATAATTAGAATAGGGTTTGGGGGGTATAGTATAACTATAATAAGGAGCCCACAAAAGGACAGGAACCCTGAAGCCCTGAACGGCCCAAACTTCCGAAAGTCTAACAACGCCATATAATAAGCCCCCGCAGCCCTTCAAGCCTGGAAGTCTGTAATCCCTAGCCCTACATATATGTTAACTCTTTTCAACCAAAACGCCCTGAGCTCTTGTAAGAACCCTAAACCAGTAGACCTCCTGAACTCCCAAGAATTCCCGACTTGAGCTCGAGGCTGGCGGAGACCAGACAGGTGCAGGAGGCTGGGGTGTGGAAGCCTCGGGTCTGAGGGATGAGGTCACATTTTCAGGCTGAAGTTTTTGGACGGTTTTTGGTTGAGGGTCTTTGGATGTGTTATGAAGTTTTTGAATGGCTGAGGGTTTAGGGTGGCCCTAACCCTCAAACGTAGGGTGCTTGATGATACTGTTCAGTTGGTGTTGTTAAGAAGAGGGCGCTAGCTTTGGAGTCACGCAGATCTGGAAACGGGATTTCACTCCCCAAATAATTAGAGCTTAAACGGCCAAACATGAACCTTTGCATGTTGGGTTTAGGGTTTACTTCCCAAGATTGCCTTGACTGGTTTGTTGCTGTTGGGTTCACTGAGCTCAATATCCAAGCAAACTCTGTTTTCCCCCCTAGACCTGCCGACTGCCGCAAAAAGGTCTCAAGTAGGCATGCAGGCTCATACAGTTGATGATTCCGCGGTTCACGGAGCTTCCAACAACTGAATATGGTACCAGAACCTGAACCATCTCCGGTTTCCGAGAGCATGCATGCAATCAGGAAATGCTTTGCTTCTGGCAATCCAATGTAAGATATCGCCATCAAACGCTGCTCGGAGATGGTAACCTAGGGGACAAGTAGAACACAGTCTAGGGATACAAAGTAACAAAAATCGTCAAGCCCCTATAAGGTGTTGTTGATACTACGGGCACGTAGAACGCCGCTTTGAGAACCTTTGTAGGACCTTTACCGAACCTTGCTAGCATCTCCACAGATGCTTTAAGAACGCTCATTGGCCCTTTCAAAACCTCCTCTAGAACCCTAGTCGACCCTTCATAGAACCTTTACAGGCCTTACATCTTATATAGAACCTTGAAGGAACCCGCTTAAAGCATTGTAAAGGGCTCCTTTAAAGTTAGGCAGAACCGGGGGCCGTCTAAAATTTACAAAAGCGAACCCGTAAAGCGGCCCTCAAAACCGCAAACAAAAAGCTTTAAAGGAGCTCTTTTAACACCCGATTTTCACGAAAACGACCCCAGGGAGCCCTCTCGCACGCGTGATGCCCGGCGAAACCCCCCACTGCGCGGCGCGCCTCCTCCAGCTTCTTATAAGTACTTATAACCCCAATTAAGGTACCTATAACCCTCCTTACTGAGTCCCATGATCCTCCAAGTAGGCCCTAAACCCTAAACCCAAATAGCACCCCTATAGATCCCTTAAATTAAAGGGACCCTTGACCCCCTACTTTCTAAGTCCCATGATCCTCCAAGTAGGAACCCCCCCGAAGTCCCCACTCCCCGTCGCACCTCCTCCAGTTTGCTGCTCGAGGCTCGGGGCCGGCCTGAGAAAGGCAAGTTGGGGTTTAGGGCTTACTTAAAGGCTCATGGGACTTAGCAGCTAGGGTTCTATTGTAGGGTTCTATAAGGGCTCCTTTAAAGGGATCTATAAACGGTTTAAGGCTTAGGGCTTAGGGTAGGGTTCAGGGGTTAGGGTTTAGGGTTTAGGGCTTGGGGCTTTGGGTTTCGGGTTTAGGGCTTAGGGTTTAGGGGCTGAAGACAAGTTCGGGTTTAGGTTGGGGTTTCAGAAAAGGATCATGGTTAAGGCGGTTGAGGGATTTAAAGCTTAGGTTTAGGGTTTAAGAACTGGGGGCTTGGAGTTTAGGGTTAAGGGTTCGGGGTTTAGGATTCAGGATTGAGGGTGTATGATTTAAGCAACTGCAACACAAGACACGAGGGCTCCAGGGTTTTACAAGGGTTCATGCAGGTGGGGGGATTGATGTGCCTTCTTTCTGCTTTTTCTTGTGGGTGGGGGTATACGAGGCGATGACGTTCCGTGTTTCAGAATGCAGTATGATGAGGCTTTCAGGCAAGAAGCATTTAAATTGAAAGTAGCACTGGCGAACATATTGAAAGTAAAACGCCTGTCACACGAAACAGGTATTAACACAGGATTGAGAATCTACTGAGGCAACCCGTTGCGTGACATGCCAAATCACATCATCACATGTCCCCATCATCAGCATCATATGGTACTCATTATATCTGTTCTTAATTCGGCTTCTTCATGTCGTAACCATGCTTCGGCTAACGGTACTAAGGCTGTATAATGCTATTCTATGCAACAGAAGCCGCCGCTCAAGCTATGTGGAAGTCCCTTAAAGGCTCTGAGACCTGCGATAAGTTAAACTTAACAGCTTCGCCTGTTTTCTTTCTAAAACCGTCGGCTGGGCTCAATGCCCCGTCCTTTGCCGGCACAGCTGGTGGCTCTTCTAAACTACGGACCCCATAGGTGCCTTTGCTGTACCGACCCCTCCAAGGGGACCCAAATTTAGACAAACCACCGGCCACGACTGAGGACCTTCAGCAAGCTGCGCTCCTTCAAGCCCGATTCCTTAAGTCAAGCTTTAGGAGTTTAGGTGTGATGTTGGAAGAGTGCGGGCCACTGAGAGCCCATGGCAACTCTATGGGGCTGTACTACTGAGAGGTTCGGGGTGCTTTATAACCTGGCTCTAGTTTTACTCATAAGGCAACTTGACCTGGGGGGCTTGTAGTTGGCTTAGGATTGCAGATAAAACTAGGTTGCAAATACCCCGAATCTCCAAGTACTTTAGCTCGAACCCCGGATGTCGTTCAACTGAAGCAAGCCTTATCTTGCAATCGCCCCTGGCAAACTCGGAGTATCTCGAAAGCTATAGCATCGGCTTAAGGGTTCCGGGGTTTGAAATTTGGGGTTTAGGGTTCAGGAATTTAGGCTTCTAGAGTTTAGCGTTTAGGGCATGGGTTCTGTGAGATCGGGCGAAAAGGATCCGCTCCTCAGTGAAATAAAGCGCCCCTCGAAACCACGCATGCCGTTTGGCATCCTGGTCTGTGCAGGAACTTCCGCCCCCGAGGATTAAAACTAATAGTGCATTGAATATATTGTTGCAATTATACGATAGTATACTGCATATATAGTCATTACTCACATATGGCATTTAAATTTATTAATGGTAGCCAATTATAGCTGTGTCGTGGTTACATTACAGTTACTTTCTATCTGCACGACCCAGAGCGCCCAATACCCCTTAATTAAGGAATATAGCTTAAATCATAATATGAAGCCCTATATAATTTAAGCCATATTCCTTAATTAAGGGGTATTGGGCTCTCTGGGGAACTACAAGGCTCCTTGTTAATTGCGTCTGGGGGATGTTTCGAGCTCCTTTTACAGGATCAGCCGTGTGTGCCTGGACTTGGAATCTCAACCGCTCCCAGTACGGTTTAGGGTGTAGGGTTTAGGGTTTAGGGTTTAGGGTTTAGGTTATACATGCTCATGATTCTCTGTGAACCAGCAATGCCGCAATACCTGAAAAACGGTATGTTGCTAACATTGGCATGGCGACGAGCATCTGGAATACAAATCTGTCGCACTATGTGTCTGTACAATCAGACGAGGACCCGAATGTCTTGTCAACTGCGTTGAAGCTAACCGAGGCGCCATGGTGTTCATAGTGGTCGACTAAGCTGTTGCAAGTTCTCCTACGCTAGAGAACGAAAACCAGTGCAAACACACAGGCTGTTTAGACAGACCTCCTTCCTCATTTAGGGACTTAAATAATTACTATCACTATTTTGGGGATTCCTTATTTATGTTTATATAATATGATATCCCCAAAACCCTGTTCTAGTTATTATAAGGCTTAGTATGCCAGACCCGAACCCCAAAACCCTGAACCGCTTCTTCAGAAGGCATGCTTGAGGAGCTCCTGGGACCAGGTGTACGGTTCAAGGATTGAGCTTCACCCAGGTTTCAGGGTTGGTTTAGGGTTTAGGGTTCACGGTGTAGGGGTTTAGGGTTTAGAGCTTCACCCAGGTTTTAGGGTTGGTTTAGGGTTTAGGGTTCAGGGTGTAGGGGTTTAGGGTTCAGGGTGTAGGGGTTTTGGGTTTAGGGTTCAGGGTTTAGGGGTTTAAGGTTTCGGGTTTAGGGTTTAGGGGCTTTAGCGCAGAAATGGAGCTGCATGATATAAGCCCTGCATGACCCAGAATAAGAAATATATAATTATATAACAATTACCATAGTTTAGGGTCCTTAAGGTAATGCAGGATTTATATCATCAACCGTATTCCGTCAATGCTTTGGAGCCCCAATGGTTCCACATGGTATACTATCCTTATCGTCTCCTCATAGAGCCTTTCTAGTATCCCCACAGCCTGGGAGGAATCCTAAACGCCTCAAACCCTGTGGAACAGAAGGACACAACGAAGTTCTCAGGGCTAGGACGACTTAACAAGGACCTCTGGCGCCAAGGTCGCCCCGCTGAGAGCCTGGTCATGCAATCTTGCAGATAGTGTATAGTACTTTACATATGTACTAGTACCCTGTAAGAACCCTTATAGTTGGTATCCCGTAGGGCTTAAAGGAACCCCTAAAGCCTACGTGTGAGCAAACACTGCTGTCCCTGCAGGTACGACGGCACATGATGGGACTTTATGCGATCATTGCAGACCAAGTGGTGTAAACCTTCGACCTGCAGCTTCACTACCATGGCGTGCCGCATGTTACCGGAAGTAGCAGTCTTCTGCCTCTATGCAACTGAGCCTCTCGCCTAAAACTCTAAACCCGAAGCCCTGAACCCTCTAAAACCCGAAACCTTTGAAATACACCCTAAACCCCAATCCCGAAACCCTCAAAACTCAAAGCCGTCCTCTGCACCCAAAAAGGGCCGGCGCTCCGCATCAGTGCCATACACCTTGCGCGGGCCGTGTTCGATTCCGATTTGGGGATGCAGAATTTCGGGAAGGTTCAAACTTCAAGTCCTAGTCCAAATCCTGAGCCCAAAACTCCTAAACCCCAAGTCTCCGGGCCCTAAGACGTTGATTCTACGCAGGGCCCAACACACGCCACACGCATAGACAAACAAAGGCACAAACACACACACACACACAGCAGACACACACACACACACACCGACACACACACACACACGCACACACACACACACATGCACGCACCGCAGCAAGTGCCTGAAACTGGGGGTTGGCGAGATGCTTTAACAAACACAACTAGACATGCATTCTCTCTTTCTATTCACCATTGCGTCTTGGCGTCGTCCTCGAGCGCAGCAATAAACAGGTCCAGCAAAACAACATCAAACCCCAGGAAATTGTCTACCTCATCAAAAAGATGGACTCCGGACTCTGGACCTAAATGGACCTCAATGCGATGACACACGAGCCCGAAGTTCGAATGCTGACTGGCCTGGAATCCACAAGCTTCGCGGTCACGGAGTATACGCTTGCAAAAGTACCTGTGGTGGGTCCACAGGTACCAGCTGAACTATGAGGACCTGCTGAACGTTTGCGCGTCCGGCTTGTCATGCCGGTGTCAGTCAAGCCACGGCCACATGAGGCTGTCTCACAAAATGCGCAACATTAACATTGAGTTTTTTGTCCGCGGTTATCCCGAAACACATTACAGATGCAGGGCTTCAGGATGTTTCACATCGACCCAAGCTGACGTTCAGAACTGAAAACTAGAATCAACATAACGAAACACAACATTTCTCGAAAAAACGTGGCTTCTGCGAAGGACGGGAAGAACACGGAGTTCTTGCAGGACTTGTTAAGGTTCAGGTGCAAACCGTCAAACACGAAAAATGTAGTGAATACAAGCAAGTTACACGCCTCGTTTCCCATCACAGCAAAACAAAGCGCGAGCCGGGATTCCGAAGCTGCATCAACCGCCTCCGAGCCCCAACCCCCAATTCCATCCCTCAAACACCGAGACAGGAAATGTTCGATGGTAACTAGTAGTACGGCACCGGCCTGCAATCCGTTGGCCCTTGACGTTTCACACGCTTGACTTGAATCTGCCGCTCTTCTTACAATCGAAACAGCTCTGTCCCTCAATGGAAGAAGCTAGGAGGCTACTATCAACATCCCGTTGAATCGCAGGTGTTTAAGAAAATCCGTGGATGGCTGCACGCTTCGCGGTGACAAATCTCTACCTTCCCGCCACTCGAGGGCCTGGGCCTTGTGTTAGGGTTTAGGGTTTAGGGCAACAAAGCGCACCTCTGATTGACTGGAACGAACATGACTGGGCCTAGTTTCTGACAGACAACGCGTTGGAAAGGACTTCGCCGCAAATTGTTGTTGCCTGTGTCGGACGAACATACGAACAAATATAAATCATATTTACATATATACATATGTGGGCATGTGGATATCGACATGCGTGAGTGAATACCAGGCAGGTAGCAGCAACCCGACGGAAATGTTGCTGACAGCAGATAACCTTCCCCGACGAAGAGGGTTCGTTCTAGCAAGACCTGAAGGGTGATCATCATGTCAGAACTATTGAGAA